AGTTATATGACAGAGCTTTGAAATGATACGTCTGTTTTATGTTGAAAGTTTATAGCCAGCCCTCCTGAGTCGATTCTTTGTTGAGTAACCTTCTACAGACTTATACTGTTGCCCTTCCTTCTTTGCAAAATATCTGATGCTCACTCAGATTACAAGCAGAGCGTCTGTGATCATTCATTTTCCAAGTCCCGGCAGATCAATCCAATTTAGACTTTGAATAGGCCATTCTAATGTGATGGGCGGTGTGTCTCTGGTGACAATTACATATCACACCTTTCATTTTAACGCAGCAAAAGACCAATAATAAGCTCTGCTCTTGAACTTAGAGTGCACTTAAAATTTACGCTGCCTCGGAGAAGTACCAACCTGACAAAATAAAGATGATTCTGGGAAAAATAGTGAAAATAACATAATTGTGTATTTTCTTAACAGATCGACTTAGTGTTTATGTGTCGCAAGAAATTCAAATGAAATATGCAACAGTCTTTTTCAAGTCACCAAGCAGGAAGTATTACTGCAGGTCCAAAAAAAGAAAAAAAAAAAAAAAAAAAAAAACAGAAACAAGCTTTCCCTTGTCACACACCACACCAAATTCCTCAAGAGCGCCGAGGCCTGGAAGAGAGCTGATAACACACACATTGGGGGGGGGAAGAAATATGCCCTCCCCAGATAAGGAAGAACATTCAACAGTTTGTCTGCATACCTTCCAGCTCAGATTTGCAGGACGTCAGCAGATCGGGGTTCACCTCTGACGGTGCGGTCTCCCTGGAGTTGATGATCTTCACCTGACCTTTAACAGCACATTCACAGTAATCAGTAATTGTTATCACAGCAACAACACCGGTGCTGCACGCGTTTGGCTGCTTGTAGACATTTCCTCACCAGACTTGTCCATCACTGTGAAAATGGCCCCCCCTCCAATTCCAGCGCTCTGCGGGTTCATGATGCCGGTGCACAGAAGCGCAGCGATGGCGCCATCTACCGCCGAGCCGCCTCGTATAAGCATGTCCCTGAAAAATCCGCGCCGGTGTTACTGCTGCGTGCCAAATGTTATTACTTTCCACATGCGTAGGTGTATGCCGAGCCGAGCCGAACCGAACCGAACCGAACCGAGCTCCATCGTAAATTAACTGCACCCGACAGTTAATCCTCTCTTAACATGTTTAGCAGAGTGCACTTAAAATTTAAACACGTTTGTTCCGATTCTGGGTTTTAAACTTTTACAGACCATAAATGCCCTTGTAGGGGGAGCAGAACTCAGATAACCTGAGGCTGAACATGAGGATGTCATTTTTCCTGGAAGGCGGTGATAAATAAAGCAGACATGTACAGTTTCCCCATCATTAATGAAGAGAACAGTGTTCATCATCATCATCACTCACCTTCCAATCTCTGAGCATTTCTTCGTGTCTGCCGCTACTGCAGCTTTCGAGAAAGTGTCGTCCGCGCAAGTGCGTCTAGTAGTGACAGTTATGATCACAATGATGGCGATCATAACAACAACAAGCAGCAAGCAACAAGTGTACACCCTGGCCTTGGATCTTGCCATGCCCCGCTGCTCTCGCTGTCCACCAGGCTGATGAATCCGGCGATCTGCGGGAGTGAAGGGCTGCGCACCTGGTCGGACCGGAGGAGGCGGGCACCGCGGCGCCCCGCAGCACAAGGAAACGCTGCAGAAAAAGGGAAGGTTATCGTAACAGCCCAGGGGATTCATGCCGTTGTGTTTACGCCTCCTTAAGGTTTCTCAGTTCTGGTTATTGTTTTAGTTTGTTGCAAATATGCGGAAATGTAACAACAAACAAACTACCAGGTTGAACAAAGAAGAAGAAAAGAAAAGAAAACCAGTTGGGTTATTTCTCAAACTGCGAGTCAAATGTGAACCGATCCAGACCCGGCTTGATTTAACGCAACATCATTTGAACATTGGCTGGAATTTCAAAATAATAATAGAAATAATAAATAATAGTAATGATAATAATAAGAAGAATAAAAATTCTATGGCAAAACGTCGGTAGCGTGGGCACTGTCAATGTTGATTTTATGGTTAAATTAAAGTTTTACCATAAAAGAGAAATGTTTTAACTTCTGGGGAAAGTTTTGAATTGAACATGAAAACAACTTATAAAAATGAATATACAAATGTAAAATGGACAAATTACTGTTTTCACGGATTAATTTATTCATGCCACCACGTCACGTCAACAGCCATGTATACAATGTATGGTAGAAAATTTCCTGTCACAATTTTACTGTTTATTACTGTCTTCTAATCAGAGTAGTCAGTGAAATCATTAACAAACAAAACAAAATCTTGCCAGTAGTTAGTGTTTGTTTGCAAAAATACATTTGCAATGTTGCTGCCATTGATGTTCTTAGCAGAAAACTGCAAACCTGCCGAAACACTGAGTTCCTTTAAATCAAATCTAAAACCCTCCCTGTTTAGAGATGCCTTTAATGACAGGAACATTATTGGATTCATATCATTCACAATGATTTCGATGATAGCATTTGACAATTTTATAATCGCTTCCTGTAATATGTTTTTATGATGTAAAACACTTTGAGCTGCCTTGTTTCTGAAATGTGCGATGCAAATTAACTAGACTTGACGATGTCTAAATGAGCGCTCTTATAAAGGAGGTGTTGGTTTTGTTGAAAACGGTATGCAAACCATTCACACCATCAATCTTATTGACCTGATCTCCTCTGCAGGCTGTAAAAACTGCGACAGGGTGATGCTGTTGGGGCAGAAGGTCAAAGAATGTGAAGTCAGGCTTGTTGGGTTGGAGAAAAAAAAATAATAGAGAAGACTCATTTTGAGCAAGAGTCTAAATAGCCCATAGCTAAAGATGCTATAGTTAAAGGCTATTGCTGCTATAGCTATAGGCTAACATAGCCTAATTATGGTAAGTTATTCTTTCTAACCCACTTTTTCACATATTTAACTTTTGGGTTGAAAACCAGACAAAGTATTCCAGTCAAGCACGAAACCCTGTTTTAAGTGCTAAGTCATCCGAGATCTAGTTTCAATCAGTCTAGTCGACAAAAATACCCCCAAATAGGTTGGGGATTTAATCGTAATTGGAAAACTTGCGTTAGTTGGAGGCACTAACACAAGTACTGCCTGAGGGGGAGGATGCTGAAGAATGTTGAGCTACAAATAACTAAGATCTCAACAGGTTTTTAATGAGGCAAACAAGGCTGAATATACGACAGCAGAATTTAGAATGGAATAGTTGTTGCTGAATAACGAGGGAAGACAGACAGGACTTTCTAGAACATCAGAGGAACACAAGAGGAACAGGACGAGCAAAGTAAAAAACACTCCAACCAAAACAATACTGCTACTACCACTGAAATTCAAACATTTGTGGTTATAACATAACATAACATAACATAACATAACATAACATGAGATAACATTTCTAGACTTCCAGCCTCTTCTCATTGGCTCCTTGTAAAATTCAGAACAGGATGTTAAAGGAAAAGCCTTGATAATTCACTGTAATAAAATGTTGTCCAGTCTGTAAGCATATTAAGAGTTATTTAGTACTGAAAAAAGAAATTGCGTGGAAAGTCTTTTCATATTTTTATATTCAACAAGTTATTTGAGTGTAGGAAAGCCTTTAGCTCTCTCTGCCCTCCTCCACGTAAAGCCACGGACCTTTAGACCAGCCGGGGTTCTTCAGGCGTCCAGCTTTGCAACGAACTATCTCCGCCCCCCTCCACCCAAACGACTGTGATGAAAACCAGGGATGACGCGAAGCATCCTGGGAAATGCTGTCTACAGTACAAACAGAAACGCGATATGCGGAAGACATAACTAGTGCACAATCGGAAGAGGGCAAAGTTTACTTTCAAAGTAAAACCATTTGAGGCAGATTTGGTGGATCGTACCACACGACTTTTTGATCGATTGAAAATAAATTATCAACCCAACATCTCTACGTGACGTATCTGTAAGCAGCAGAACAAGTGGTTGAATCAATCCTAAATCAGGCATGAAGCGTTCTGCACATTTTTTTTTATTTATTTGTTGTTGTTTTTTTACATCTGTCGCCTCCTCATGTGTCAGATCCAGATCAATAGCTTTTGCTGGAAAATGTCTCAATAGAAAATAGAAGTGGAATCAATTTACTTGCAAAAAAATAAAAGATAAAAAATCTTGTAAGGTGTGGCGTGCATCTCAATATGTGGAAACCTTTTGCTCCTATTACAGCACAAGTCTGCTCCAGCTTTCACATCTTGAAACAAATATTTTTGTTCACTCTTGTTGACAGATTTGCTCCAGTTCAATCAGATTGGGTAGAAAGCTTGTGTGAAATTTCAAATCTTGCCCGAGATTAACATTTGGATTTAAGCCTAGACTTTGACTGAGCCACTCTGACTCATGAATAAAATTGATCTAAACCTTTCCGCTGTAGCCTCTGGTTTTCTGCAGGAAGGCGAATCTCTGTCCCAGTCTAAAAGGTTTTTTGCAGCATCTATCCGGTTTTGTTCTTGCCAAGGTTTTAGAGTTTGCCAAGACACTCACCAGTGGAGTATAAAAAATATATATATTTAAATTAGCTCCATCCATCTTAACATCCTAGCTGCTTCCCTATGAAACGAAAAACTTCCTCACAGCATTATGCTGCCATCACCATGTTTCACAATGGGGACGGTGTTTTCGGGGTGATGTGCTGAGTCCGTTTCCCGCCACACGGCATTTTGCATCCGGACCAAAAAGTTTGACTTTGTGTTTTATCTGTGTCTCCTACATCAGTGGTGCCCAACCCTGGCCATCAGGGCCCACTGCTGCCAAAAAAGTGAGATAATTTGCAGCATCTATCTGGTTTTATAATTGTGCTGTAAATTTCTCCACATTTGTCTCTGACCTATTGGCTATGTTCATTTGCCTTCATAAAGCTGTTTCTTTGCCTGTATTCTCTGACATATGTTTTCATAAAACATCTATTTTACTGAGATTGAATTACACTTACTAGTAGAACTCTCCCTCTTACGCTATGTGTCGCTATGTGTAGCTCTTTCAAATAAAATTATAATTAAATAACCTGAAACGTGTGTTTGTAAACGTGAAATACTTTGAATGGGGTATTAATTTTTTTTGCAGGGCTTTATTTTGAAAGGAACAAGCGGAACCAGATGGTAATACTCCACTAACTTGATTGTCTCTGGGTGTCTTCCCCAGAGAAACGTCAGTATTTACATCAATATTTTCTGAAGGCATTTCCGACATCCTCTGTTCGCCTCGGACAGGGATTCCGCCCGTCGGTAGGACCGCTTCCGATACACACATTATCATTATTATTACTATTATTATTTTTTCTTCTCCATTTTTTCCCCTCCCTCCATGCAACGGTGGCGAGCTCCGTCCGTCTTTGTGTGATTTGGAGCGGTTTCCTGTGATGTTGCTGAGCGATCCCCGTCTGCCGTGTGCACTGCAGTGGTGCGCAGCGTCGCCTGGAGAAACACCTGTGCGCCTCCGCTCTCCGCCGGGCGGCCTCGGCCACGCATGCTGAGTAGGTATGGATGCACACACAAAAAAGCCAGCGCACCACCACGACATCCACGCAGCAGCACCAGCAGCATCAGACACGGGAAAGCATGGGGCTCTGTTCTGGCGATGGGCTTGTTTACCAATGGTCGCTCCCGTGTTGTATGTTTTGCTCGTTAGTTTGAATGGCAGCTGATAGCTGCAACTCTTCCACTCTGATGGCTTGGAAACAAAAGGGGTAATAAGAGCGTGTGTGTGTGTGTGTGTGTGTGTGTGTGTGTGTAGGTGTGTGTGTGCTTGCCTTGGATGACAACAGGATCTGCTGGTGAGGTGTGTGTGTGGGGCGTGGGGGCGTCTTGATGCTGTCAGGCAGGATGGAGGGGAGGATCTGCTGGAGCAGGAGAACCAAACCGGACCATTTTTGGTGAGAGCACACCGTGGAGTGATCACAGCTGACGCATTGCACTCCTTGCCTTGTGGTTGCTGCTGCTGCTGCTCCTGCTGCTGGTCCATTAGCATTATATAATCACACTCATGTAATGCAGCCTTCTTTTGATACTAAAACCCCCCAACCCCCAACACACACACACACACACACACACACACACACACCCTCCTACCCTCCTCTTCCCCCAGGAGGCATTTATGCAGCTCCTGCTGAGCAACCTTTGAATGCCAATTATAACTGTGGGTGGGTTTCAACTATGTTTATGTTTACATAATTGTGTGTTTTGTGTGTATGTGTGTGGTGCTCAATCACAGGAAAGGGAGAGATTTGTTTTAAATGCAGCAATGTACCCATGACTCATGGCTTTATAAAGTGCAGTACAGGGGGAGTGTGTGTGGAGGGCTGAATTCCCGTTTCTGCTCACTCTTCGTGTGTGTGTGTGTGTGTGTGTGTGGGTGTGTGTGTGTGTGTGTGTGTGTGTGTGTGTGTGTGTGTGTGGTGTGTGTGCAGTCATGTTCAAGTCCAGCAGGTGTTTATTACATGCAGTCAATCAAGATGGCAATTTGCTAGTATAAAGAGACACGTGTTACATATGGCGTACTTATGCCAAAACCATAGCAACGCATAATGGGTTTCTCCTGTTAGTCTCAGGAGAGACTAGCTGTGGACCTGGGTCAGTGTAAGATGTTTATGGTGTGATAACCTATAGGTTAAATGAATGCCACATTTTCAGAGTATCTAGACAAAAAATTAAAAAAACAAACGTCAGTTAGAGATGCAGCTATCAGACATTTCTTGGCCGATATCGATTTCCCGTTGTCTTTGAAGCCTTGCCTGCTAATTGTGATTATTCAGAATTTTTCTCTAGGGACTGTAAAATAAAAAAAAATATATGTTTTAGTTACTTTGACAGAGTTAGTAGTTTTGAATCAAACTAATAGTTAATAAATTCAAAGATTAAAGCCACTTGTGCATCAGAGCACTTGACCCTAACCCATATCGTTACTAAACTAAAACCAAAGTCACGCAAGTTACATGTTGCTGATTGACTGAAAATGGAGGACGATGCATGTAATGAAAAGGCAAAAAAAATAATTTATTTTGAGTATTTAATATGCCGATTGCCAATCAGAGCCAATCAAGGGAAGGTCAGCAAATTCCAATCTCTTGAATCGTCCATCACCACCTCTGAAACAAATGAAGCTCCTCTATCTTCTCCCAGTGATAACTAGAAAAAAAAAAACAATCAGAGCCCAGAGGCAGGTCTTACAGCTGTCAATCACAATCTTGTGTGGTGCTGCTCATCCCCTTTTACCTCCCTCCCCTCCCTTGCACTCTGCTACCGCTACAGCTTTTCCCCGTCAGCAGATCCTGTTGTGAATGCTAAGGCTAGTTAGCATAGCTACCAATAATGCTGGATGAAATGTTTTCCTGTTATGGTAAGTTGTTTCTCTGTCATTAACACATTTAGGAGCGAGTACATGAGATTGAGTGACAGCACTAAGACCTTCCTCCTGGCTCTGATTGGTTGTTTCTGGTCAGGAGGTGCATTCTTTCTGATGACAGCAGTAGCTCAGGAAGGAGGTGGAGGAAACTGATCTTTTCCCAGTTTATCTGTCTCCTAACATACTGTCAAGACATGGTGACAGTGAAAAACATGTTGTTTTTTATAAAAGTTTCATACTGCAGTTTTAACAAACATGCGGCTTGCAGCTTGTCAGCTGTTTCTCCACCGTGGTGTGTTTTGTTTTTAACACCAGGAAATACTTCTAATGCAGATGCCTTCTTTCACTCAGATCATTTGCAGTGTGCAGCAGCAGGTGCGGGAGGGGCAGCGTTACTCTACTCTGTGTTTTGTACAGCAGGAGAAAACTCTATCTTCTCTAACCTCTCATAAACTGTAGGATAAAGCAAAACCTTCGGGTTTGAACCCCTAACTCAAACAAAACCCATATACCTTCACACCGGCAACCAATCCCTGCCCTCTCAACACACTCCAACACTATGAAATATTACATCCTGTTCTCTTTTGTCTCCCTTCCTCTCCTTCTGTCTTTGTTTTGCAGAGAAGAGACAACCCTAGGCCAGGTGTCTGTCTGCATTTGTCGGAGAGAGAGGCGCGAGGGAGCCACGCAAACACTTCACGGCCTGACGCCATGCAAGCAGAAACCTACCCTCACCGCAGAGCGCTGAAATGCTAGACCTGGAGAGCGAGAGTGTCACATCCAATCAGCAGACTGTTTACATCGGAGGCGGCCACAAGAGCCGCTTGACACTAGACTCCATAACAGCAAGTGTGTGGTTTAAGGCCCCCTTCAGTCACAATCAAGAAAAGACGCATTAACTGGTCCTTCATCAGCACTTTGTACTTCTGTTGGGTTCAGCAGCCCAGAGGCGAGCTGAGATGGAGTGGTCGCTGGAGAGTGTGAGGGAGATGGTGGCCGGCGGGATGCAGTCTGTGAGGGAATGCGAGATCTGTGCGTTCGCCATAGCCATGTGCGTGCTGCTGCTGTTCATGTGGTACTGCTACAGAGTGGGCCGCGAGCACGGCACCAGCCCCTTGCGAGGGAGGTACCTGAGCGGGACCAGCCGGATCGGAGGGGTCGTCGGGGGTTTCATGAGCTCAGACTGTCGGGGCAGGGGCAAAGGGAAGCACGGGTCACTCCTGGAAGAGCAGAACGGTTTCGCCTTCTGCCAGTCGTCCGAGTGCTTCCGCTGCACCAGCGCCGGCGAGAGCCTGAACCAGAGGCTTTACCACAGCCTCCAGGAATACGCCAAGCGCTACACCTGGTCCGGCATGGGCCGCGTGCACAAAGGAGTCCGCGACCAAGGCCGCTACCTCAACAGCCGGCCAACTATACAACGGCCTGAGGTCTTCTTCCTCCCCGACCTGCCCTCGGCGCCGTTCTTCTCCAGAGAAGTGCAGAGACATGACGTGGAGCTGCTGGAGCAGAGCTTCCCCGCCCTTCTGGCCGAGTTTGAGAGCATCTACCACCAGCCCCCGGCCCGCAGCGGCTCTTCCCTCCCACCGGGCTGGAAGGCTAACAGCACCCCTCGCGGTCAGTGGTGGACTTACTACCTGGTGAACCAAGGCACCCCTTTGGTCCTCAACGTCAGGAGATGTCCCCGCGCGTGGCGGGTGCTGGGCCAGCTGCGCACCTTCATCGCCAACAATGTCTTCGGAAATGCCTGCTTCTCCGTGCTGACGCCCGGAGCTCTCATTACGGAACATTACGGTCCAACAAATGTCAGGCTGCGCTGCCACCTGGGTAAGAAACAGTGAACTGAAACAGAAGAGGCTCGCTGTGTGTTAACCTCAGTGTGGCATTTATAAGCATTTATAAAAAGAGAAAAGGGTCAGCATTGTAAATCTAACTTCAATCCTTAGCGTCTGTATCCTTAAACTGTGCTTTACTTCTTTAGACTCAGTTCTCTTGAGTAATGGGGGCGGATGGGTGAAATGTGCCAAACGTCATTATTGTTCTCTCTCTGCAGCTGAGCTCTGGTTTTATTTCCATCTGTACTCTCTGAAATGACTATAGGTGCACATGCTTATTCTCGTGAAGGAAACGGCACCCTATAAGGATTCGGACACTATGGATGGAAGTTGGATGGCAATGAAAAGCATTTTTCTAATTTTACACTTGACACATGGATAAAGCTGTTATATTTTTCTTCTCTGCCAGGTCTAAGAGTGCCTCCGTCCTGTGAGCTGGTGGTTGGTGGAGAGCCACAGTGCTGGTCTGAGGGCAGCTGTCTGCTTTTTGACGACTCCTTCCTCCACAGGGCTTTCCATGACGGTAAGAGGGGATTAAAACTCATACAGTCCGATGTAACAAACATAGAAAATCTTCCAAAAAAAAAAAAAAGTCTGTAATTGATTTTGTTTTCTGTTTCTTTCTTTGAAATGTTGTTTGCGTAGGCAACCCAGAGGACGGCCCCAGGGTGGTGTTCATGGTGGACCTGTGGCATCCCAACGTGGCTGCTGCAGAGAGACAAGCTTTGGATTACATTTTCACCCCTGGCCGTTTAGAGGACAGGGAAGGGAAATAGTTGCGAGTGAGAAACCCTTATTTTTGAGCGAGAGACCATTGGAGTTTAGCGTCTGTGTGATTGGGGAGTGGCTCTTTCTCTGCCTCCAGACCAGCTTTTCACGTTCACTGTGTACATATTCTCCGGCTCTCACAGCATTACTCATGACTCTACTCTGCAGATAACCAGACATTGGGCCTCTCTTATCAACTGCCTTTTCACCTGTGGAGCCATAAAGCGTCACAGTAAATTAGTATGGTCTTATTGTATTGCCTGTGCATAGAGCACTTCACCCAAACCTTGTCAGTTTTAAACATTTTATAATTTAGGTAACACACTGAAGAGGTCTTGTTGTACCTCAAGTTTTCCTATACGCCGATGAGTCATTAGTGTTTATTTCAAAGCTTTATGTTTCCTTTAAGTTACCTGTTATCCTGTTTACACAGATTGGTCACTTTTCGATCCTTATGAACGGATTGGAAAGTGGATGTAATTGTAAATAAAATTTGAATTCAAGGAATATTTGTCTTTGAAATGATGAAGCACTTCAACAGAGGTGTCTGCAGAGTAAGCCCGATAACAAGAAGGTACACGTATCTCAAAGGAAACATTTTGAAATGATAAAATGATGTCAAACAGTCCATTTCGACGGTAACTCCTAGACAGCTTTTGGGATCCGAGATTTCAGTTTTTGTAAGGGTTAGCCGGTTTTGCCACACAAGATTTTGGGTGAGAGACGTCATACAAATGTTTTTTGTTTTTTTTTAGGCATTAACACAAAGTGAACAGGATATACCAAGACAGAGTAGATCACTGAACTTCAGCTGGGGGTATTTTCTGAGCTTGAAAGGAGAACAAAAGGAGGCAACTTAAAACTGTTTTCATAAACGATGCTTAAGATGCACTTGGAGAACTCTAAAGGAACCACACACTGAAATTCCCACCATTGTTCAACAATCATGCAAATGATTAATATTTATTTATTTACAACATATTGTTTGGAATACAATTTAACTATATTTACTGTACATAAACCTTCATGGTTAAGATGCCATTTTTCCTAAGTACCAAAACGTGTAGTCCTTACATCTGACGTAACCTGTTTATACTCTAAACCACAGGACCATGCTGGACCTTTCTTACTGTTAGATGACAAATTACTGAATGTTTATCTGCATATATTCCAGTGTTGTAACTAATCAATCCCTACGTTGCATTTTTCTAACTTTGGGCTGATTTTACAGAAGGAAAAAAAGGCAGTTCTGTGTTTGGACATGGAGATTGTTTGTTTTGGTCACCAGCTAAAGGAGTTGAACGGTTTAGGTTTAGATAAGGAGTGAAGCGCATGCAAGGTTTTAAATTAACCGAATCCATTCATGCCATTTCTTAATGGGTTCATAGGCCAACCAATTTGGTCAACTATTAATGAAGCCTCTTTTGACAACATGGAAATATTGCCTACATTCCCACAAGGGCTAAAAAAATATATATCATTTGGTGTTTTTCTTTTATGTCTCTACAATTCCTGTTAGATTTGCATTCAGATGTTCAGGATTCGAGCTCTTTAGAATGTTTACATTTCTCTGAATGACTGGATTTCTGACACATTGTCAGTGATTGTATTACCCGTCACAACTGGCAAAAAGTCACAATTACGCATTGTTTTTTGTTAACCTATACTTTAAAAAAAAAAAGTCCTGTCTAAAAAACACATCGAGCCACATTTAAGCAGCACAGGACTGTTACATAAACTGGAAGGGATGACTTTTAATTTTTAATGAAGGGCTGGGTACATTAAAGCAGGGAATCTTTGGCTTTTATTTATTTATTTTTTTTACACACACATCCAGACAAAAGAGGCACTGCAATCTTTTTTTCTCTCTTTTTACATCAGGAGTAGGATTTGATAACTGAGGTCCAATGTCGGCGATGATTTGAATGTTTACAGTTGCGGACGCTGTCTCCGTCCCCCAGGCCCGCCGGTGTGGTGGGTAATTGTGCTCCCCTTTGAAAATCAGTCCTGTTTTTACTGGACACTGTTGGATAAGCACATTTCAAGTTGCAAATCGGCCTGCGCAGCGAAACCGGACAGGTGAAGGATTCTATTTATTTATTTGGTAACATTTACTAAGCTCTTCTTAATTTGGTCTTATTTGATAAACCAGGTTTGTATTTCTGTAAATACGTTTGAAGTGGAAAGAAACCCAAAACCCGGAATGCCCCGACATGTGCTGAAATGACTTTCCCCCCCGATGCTTTAACTATTGTGTTGTCTTGATTTTATAGCTAAAGTGATTGCTAAAGTCATCCTCCGACTGAAAAAGCCTACCATGAAAAACAAAACAAAACAAAAAAAAAACGTTTTCGATAGATTTGATCGGTACGTTCTGTGAAATGTTTATGAAGTACTCTCTCTCTCTCTCTGTTGTTCTGTGATGTTTTCTTTAGATCACTGTAATTTTTGCAGCTCGGTATAAAAGAAGTCACCAAGCCGTACTCACTCGACAAGCCTCCATGAATAAATGTGCGCAGGTAGTGAAGATGAATCCCCTCGGCTTTACTCGTCCGCTGCAACTCAAGCGACCTGTGTTCAGTTCTGATGTTTACAAAGCCGCGGCCATTTACACGCCATCTAACGACACCAGACAACACTGCGTTGAGCTGTGCATAATTGGGTTTGAAAATCGACAGTCCTGCGAAAACCGGTTAAGGAGGGAGGGAAAAAAAAAAAACTCCCCCAAAGCGCTGGCTTTGTGCACGCTGTCTGATGGGGCGCCCATTTTGTTTACATTTGGATTAAGGATTTTGTCCTTTAACACTTTCTTGTGTGGATTTTGAACAGTATTTCTGTACATTTAATAAATGGTGGAGTATCTTGTATAACCAGCTTGTGTCGGGGGGTCTTCACTTTCGCACAAACGTCGCAGATCTGAATCTAATCCTTTTTTTAAGTTTATAGTTTCGGTTACGTCTTTCAGTTCACTGAATAGAGCTGTTTGGGGAATTGGGCCACCTGGGACAATCCCTTCTGTAGCACCAACAAAAGCGCCGTTGTAAATGTGTAATCAATACTTGAGAAGGTTTTCTGGGGAGGACTGCATCCCCCTGAAAAGCTCCCATCAACAGAGTACAAAGGGGACAATGTATACATTTATAAAGTCTGGCCTGGATAGATAGATAGATTCTGTTGAAATGTCAGATTTTTGTTAAAAAAGAGACTGTGAAAAATGTCAAAATGATTATAGAGGTGAACCAATACCTTGTTGGAAAGTCCTTCAGTTCTTTCATTGATACTCTCCTTTTATAGCACAGTCAAGAAGTGATGTCACCTTCAGTTATTATAAAAAAGCTGCGAATATCAAAGTCAAATTTCAAACTTTGACTTTGTAATTTAACACCTTGAAATTGGATCTCTGTCTCTTTAAGAAAGTCCTGTTCTTTTCAACACTCTGCCTCCAGGAAGTCATCACAACATCACTCCTCTATTAACTCTTTGACAACATTTTTACCAGCGTTGCCCTGAGACGTAGCTCCTATGATGAGCTCAGCTAATGCGCAGTTCCACCAGGTGTTTGCTAATTGCTGCTAGCTAGTCTGAAGGGGCAGACAGAGGGAGGGCTGCTCTGTGGGGTGGAAGCTCTGGAGATTGGAAGCTGGGCCAGGCGTTTTGCTCAGCTGAATGGTTGCTATGGGAGATTAAAGGATTTCTCAAACATGCATGAAAGAATCGGTATGTTCTTCATGAGGGAATAACATTATAACATGACGTAAAGCTAAAAAAGTCATCAACAAGTAAAAACAACTAATATGGCGTGCATTTTTGTATTTGCCCCATTTCTTATTCCTTCTAAAAGAATTGCAGTGAAATAAATAACCTTCAGAAGTCACTTAAGCAGTGAACAACCCATATCTGTATGTTTTATTTTGCATAAATGCATCAGTTCTGTGAAGTTCTCTTAGGAAAGAAAGAAAAAAAGAAGGCATTTTGGTAAGATGATTGTAACTTTGACTAAAAATGATTTCAAAAAATTATTGTTTAATCAGGTTTTCCCCCCGTTTTTCCTGTTGTATTTACATTGAATTTCTACCAAAAAATGACATTAAAAGTAACAGTAATATGTTTTTAAATACGTTTGTTGGAAATTATATGGAATCTATGTCAGAGTCTTTTTTTAACAGCATAGTAACCATTTCTTCCCACTTAACAATTACGCCCTCCTTTGTATTTGAATATTACATAAAATCCCGACAAAATATAACACGGAGTGAAAATTTAGCACGAGACACTTTCTGAATACAGTTTTTTATTTTTGCTACTTGTTCTGGCCTCTTTGTTCAATAAAAGTCAGAAAAATTCAATCTAGTTTTTTTTTTAAACTTGAAACTACATATCGGCTGAGAGTCTGCACCTCCGTCCTTCGCCACGTCAGAGCCACGGAGAACCTTAATGAACAGGTGACGCGCTCTGCGGCGACGCAGCCACTGTTCCGCCTCTGTTCGCAGCCTGCGCGCGCTCCGGCTGGACTACCGCACCGCGCGAGCAGGTGGGGAGATGTAGCCCAAGCTTAAAGCGGACAGCCTTCACTGACACACACACTAAAAAAAAAAAAAAAAAAATCATGATCATAGCATGGAGAGAAGACGATGAGGTGGATGGAAGACCCACGGAGGTGGAATAGATCGGATCCGCCGCGATGAGCGCCTCCTTCCCGAAATCTGATTCCACAACCTCGTTACTGAAATCATCGAGGAGATCGACACACCTCCCTGATCAGACATCAGAGATCCGGAGAGGTCAGCATCACCATCAGCATCAGCACCGCCACCGTCCCGCCGCGCTCCAGGACAGCAGCGGCAAAACTGACGAGTCCTTCTGGTCGGCCGAGGGCGACGTCAGCGCTCGGAGACCCCTGTGTCATCCCTCCCTCGTCGGCAGCCAGGACGGGGGTACCGCCGCGGCCACTCGGGGCAAGTGCAAGCCCCACCTCCCGCACAGCCAAGTTCCCGTTCAGCCGGGGCCAAACTGCGAGTCGGACCGCGGGTTGATCGAGCGGAGCCGGACTAACCCCAAACCCTCCCACCGCCACCATCACCACCACCACCACCGCAGGAAGCACCACCGGGAAGACCATCCAGATGACGCGGAGCATCCCCATCCCTGTCACCCGCACGCCCACAGGGTGCCCTCGCTTTCGGACAGCACCGACGACAGGGCCCCGTTGTGTGAACCGAGGGACCGGAAGAGGGGCAGCTTGGCCAGCGGCGGAGGCGGCGGTCAGGTCAGCAGTCCGTCCCCGTCTTCCTGCACCCCTGTCCCGCTGTCCAGCAGGTCGTCTCGCCGCTCCCGGAGGTCCAGCACCGCTTCCTCTGCATCTGACATCAATTTAAGGAGCGTCCTCAATTCACTGTTCGGGCAGGTATGGTATTTATTATTATTATTATTATTATTATTATTATTATTTGTTTGGTTTTGATCGTTTGGCTTCGATTCATTAGACATTCATGTTGTGTGTGAATCTGTGTGTTTTTGGAAAATTCCCTGACAAGTTGTGACAGTGACGATGCCCCCAAAATCCACGCTTAGTTTCAGTGAAGGGACAGTTTGGGGTTTGCAGCATCTGTCCTCATATCCTCTACAAACAACCACCCCCATTTTCTCTGAGACGATTCTGTTTGGGTTCATATTCTCTGGCCTCCTCCATCACCTCCTATGTGTTCTGTGTCATTACTGGGCAGACTGAAGAGAGAGACTGAGAGAGCGAGAAAGACAGAGAGAGAAAGACAGAGAGAGAGAGAGAGAGAGAGAGAGAGAGAGAGAGAGCTCCGTTTTTTGTAATGCATTCATTTCTTATGTAATTTGGAAAATACAGTTCTACCTCCTACAGATTTCCTCAATCAAGCAGCTCTTTCTGATTGAAGTAGGACAAAAATACATTCCAGGACCACAGAGGTGGAAAGTCTCTGATGTGCTAATGTCTCTCTGGTGAAAATTGCTTGTGTGGACTCGTGTTCCTACACACCATTCAGTCAGGGACGCTGGCTGCGGTGATTGTTTTGTGTTTGAAGGTAATCACTGATGTTCCCACTGGTGATGGAGCGTCTATTTTCAGCTCTGAGATGTATTTATACGAAGAAGAAGAAGAAGAAGAAGAAGAAGAAGAAGAAGAAGAAGAAGAAGAAGAAGAAGAAGAAGAAGAAGAAGAAGAAGTGTGGCTTCGTATGCCCGCTCTCTTATCTGTGCTGTCATTCTGCATAAATTGAGGCTGCTTTGAAAGCAACCATCTTTCCAGTTCCACCAAAAAAAAAAAAAAAAAAAAAAGCATCAGAGGGCTCCAGCTTAAGCTTTAAACCACTGATAATATGTTGTTTACTGGACGCATTGCCTCCATGTTTGGTAATTAGATGTTATCCAAAGGGATTTCTGTACAATGCTTTGGAAAAGTAAACTTTTTCACATTTTTCTTTATGCTGCAACCACAAACCTCAATGTATTTTCTTGGTATTTGATATGATAGGTCAACACCAAGCAGTGCACATTACTGAAATTCTAGAAAACAGAAATAAATCCTATGAATACAAATCTGAAAAAGTGTGGCTCATTGATATTCAACCCCGTGAGTCAGCAGCTACGACTAATTTTTTTAGGGAATGTTTTCTACCAGTTTTGCACATTTAGAGGCTCCGATTGTTTCTTTGCAAAATAGATTCAGGTTCATTCTCATTTGCATTTAGGTCCAGACTTTGATTGGGCCACATAACAGCTCCCAACAATTTCTGTTTTTCTGGTTCTCCAGTATCGACCTGTACTCGCTCCATCTGTCTTTCGATCAGCTCCGACCAGCTTCCCTGTCCATGTTAAAGATTCCCACAGCATGATGCAGCCACCACCAGTGGGACGTTTTTCCTAGCTGCACAGCATTGTCCATGTTGGAGTAAAACACCATTTTTAACCAGGTCACATTATCCCACGTTTGCTTACGAGGCTTGTGGCTCGGTTTACTTCTTACAGATTTGTGGAGCTCATGACTGAACTCCACAAAAAGGACTGAACTGTCTTTTCAAAAGATGTGGATCTCTGCAAATTGTGTTTTTTGTTTGTTTGTTTGTTTTCTCGACATTTGTGGAATATCAACAAAGTTTTGCACATGTTTGTAATGGAAAGACAGCTGGAGTTATCTCGCCTAACCCTACTTCAAATTTGCTCACAACAGCCTCCCTGTGCTGTCTGACACAGGGAGGTCTGCTGATGCTTTTTAGTGAAAAAGTGAAAAAGCATCATGCTGCTTTTTCACTAATGTTCACTAACAAACCCTTAGAGGGCTTTGCACACCAGCTGCATTTATAATATGAATACATTACACGCAGATAGACCCGGTTTTTTGATAGGCTAACTACTGAAGGTAGCACTAGATTTTACTTGGGCTACCAGAGTAAAAGGGGGCTGAATGCAGACGGATGCCACACTTTTAAGGTGTTTTTACGAAGATTTTGAAAATCTTCTTGCATCATTTCCTTTCAACTTCTCAATTAAAAACTACTTAGAGCCACATTAAATCCCAATAACCCGAGGCCCTGTATATTTGGCGAAATGAAAAGCTCTCAGTCATAAAGACAAACTTGTTGCTCATCCCTCCAGGGAAGCCATCTGATGCTGATAGTATGAAAGTCCATTTGCGCAGCTTCCCCCATGAGTCAGCCTGAGAGCATTCTGTGGAAAAC